TTGTCCTCAAATATTGAAGTCTAAGTACAACAATATACATAAGAAATCTTTGAGAAAACAATGCAAGACTATGATGCATATTGTAATAACAAAAAGTTATTCAAATTACTTCATAAACTACTTAAAGTGCTATAAGGATTGATGCTAAATTATAAACTCAAAATTAAGATGAGAATTAAGAAAACAAGATGGTTAAGAATTTGATTATCCTCCAAAATTTTGCTTCATGCAAAAAACAGATGCTCCAATTTCAACTCTTACAATAGCATTGCATGATATAATTGACGAGGGTAATAAATGAATGGGTTGAAGAAAAAGAGAGTGTTGTGTTTTTGTGTGTGTTGTTGAAGAATGGAAAAGATGCAGTAGCTGTTGGAATGAGAAATGATTTCACCATTTTGCCTCACCAAGCTTTCAGCTTTCTGACACTGCGCAATGATAATTCAACTTTCAGACTGGGCAAAGAGATTCTGAAATAAAATTAGTTTTCTTCGCCTTAATTAGAGTAGCAATAATGAAGTTAAAGCTTAATAATAGAAGGTCGTGGGACTTAATTTATTAATAATTTAATTTTAATAAACAATATTTTAGAGGCTAATTTTAAATGTAATAACTTTTTAAAAGATTAAATATTTATTAAAGTTATTAATGACAATTATTTATAAATTATATTTTCATTTTTGTACAAGTGTTTCCTAATTATTAACTATTTTTAAATTTTTTATCAATAAATAATAAATATTTTTTAATATAATTTTATTTTGCTTCTAAACAATATATGAATAGAATACTGATCACAAGCCTTATTTCAGTTTAACACATATACTGACTTTAAAACATATCTTTGGTAGTTAATTAGAAGAAACTAATTTACCACTCACATTTCTATTCAACTCAGAAAGAATTATTACTCTTTTTATTCCTATTACTATTGTTACTCATAATAATTATTATTAAATGTTAATTTATTTATGTTTAGTTTAAGATCACTGGTTTCTGGATACCATATTATATAATCAATTAACATAGGTTTAACTTAGATGAAACTGCATCAAGCAATAAAATCTCCCTTCAAATTTTAATTTACATTTTCGTCATTGATATTTGGTTTTTTTTTTTTAAGAAAGTGATTAACGCTAAGGTTGGTTTCAAGGAATTTGCAACAATTGAAATAATATTTTATAGCTTAAAGATAATAATAAAAATTTATATTAAGATAAAAAATATGCATATATATAATAGAAAATATGGTATTCATCCGGTTTATTCCCTTTTTTTCAATTTATAATCATCTAAATAATACATTAGTTCAACTTTATTTCTTTTTTATTTAAATTCTTATTTTATTCATCTTTATTTCAGTTGGATAACCTAAATATCTAGAGCATATTTTTTTCTATTTAAAAAAAGAAAACAAAAAAGTATACTTATTTTTTGTTTTTCTAAATTAAAAAAAAGAAAGAAAACAAGCATGTTATTAATTGTTACACTTCAAAAGTATGAGTTAAATAGTCACACGTAGATTATTTACATATAAGTCTATACACAAGGCTTGTGACTCTTGTCATGAGTTCTGTTCTTTTCTTTTTCTTTTGCACACATCCATGTCAATGTTTTAGCTATCCATACAAATGTAAGTCGAAATATTTGCAATCTTTATGTAGAACATTGGAAGGACAAAAATGTAAACATATAGACAATCCAATGATCCATTAAATTTAACGTTTTGGAAGCTCTTGCCTATTTTACTACAAAGTGAATCATATTAACAAAATCGTAGTAAATATCCTGAGAGAAAACTTTAATTCAAGCATGGAAAAAGATTAGGCCTTAGGCTGCATTGACAGTGAGTGTAAGGGCAAGCAAAAATTACTACAAAAAAGTAAGGAAGCTATAGCTATCATATCATTATAATTCATTATTAGAACTAAGCTATCGATTTAAAATTTTCAACATTCAGAATCAGTGGATATTATTATGAGACTGGCACAGAGCGTAAGACTGATTGTTTATACCAAATTATTGAAATCAAATTTTCAGGCAGAATATATATTGCAAGAATAGTTCAAACAGTTTGAATGAAGGTACAACATTTACAGAAAAAAAAGGATTAATAATGAATGACATGTTAGAGCACATACTCAACCTAAGTAGAACACAATGGTAACACAAATCTCCTTTTAAATCTTTCAAACTAATGATACAATGTCATCCTCTTGAATCTGTTTACTCTACCAGCAAGTTATTTAACAAAATGATATCAATTTAGATAACTTTTCAAATTAACACAATTCAGATGTGAGAAAGGGAGCCAAAAGTTTCCAAAAATAAAAGATTTACTCTTGAAAAAGGAAGCCTCAAAATAAAACCTATCAGTCATCCTGAAGTGAGAAAGGGAGCCAAAAGTTCCCAAAGATAAAAGATTTACTCTTGAAAGGAAGCCTTAAAATAAAACCTATCAATGATCCTGATTTGACTATGCTTAAAAATAAGTTCCCATGAAGGAATTTAAGACTCCAAAATGTAACTCTACCAGAGTAAACTACTTGCCCTTATAAATATTATGAAAATCATCCACAGGAGTAACAAACTTGTGCTCACAGTTCCCTAAAAAACTGACAGAATTATACAAAAAAGAACCAGAGTAAGAATATGATCTAATTGGCATATTTGAGTTAACATGGAATGTTCCTCTCATCAAATTTGATCAGCAATCAATCCCTCACATTCTTTTCCTTTCTCTTTTATTTATTTTTTGAAAGACTAAGGCCAAACAATCCTTCAAAAATGGTTCGCATATGTACACAAATTAAAAATGGATAGTGTTCTGTATGAGATGGATGGCTCTTCCAGTACAAATGGTCTTCAACGGTGGTTCAGAGCTTCTATGTTCCAATGGAGAGTGTTCCTACAAGAAACACTCTAATACTCAAGTTAAAGGAATTTTGCTCAGGTTGTAAGGTAAAAAGTGTATTTGTCTTGGGAAGATTCATTTATGTATAAATGTTAATAGTTTTGTCATTTAGCATACCTGCTATGAGCTATTGGGCGAAGGTGTGCATTCTTGCTATTGTACAACGATCATAATGTACCAAATAATGTACCTTAGTTCTGACATGAGTGAAGGTGCATCAGATTGAGATTTGTTCTAGATGACACAAGATAACCGTAGTCATGAATGTGTTCAGGGGTATTCTATCTGCAGTGGATTTTGACTAGTTAAGATCACCAACACGAGTCGGTTATGAAGTGGGCGAGTCGAGATGAAATAGGTTCTTGTCTAAACTTACCTTTGTCCAGAGTCAATTGGATTTCTTTCGCACTACTTCTAGATTTAAAAAGTCTAATTTGCTAAAGCGACCACTTCTATGTGTACCTTTTCTATTGGAGTAGTTGTGTTAGTTTTTTATGCACATAAAAAACCAACCCTCCAATAGAAAACTAACAACTGTTCCAATAAAAAAACATGTAGAAGTGGTCATTGCAACAAGTTAGATTTTTCAGATCCAAAAGCAACGCAAAAGAAATCTAATCAACCTTAAACAAAAGTAAATTTAGACATCACAAAAACCTATTTCATTTCAATTCGTTAACTTCATGAACAACTCAAGCTGGGAGGCAATTGATCTAAGGTCAAACCTCTAAGTTCACCATCACTAGTCAAAATTCACTACAAAATGACTGCAGTCATCCAGGATGAATCATAGTCCAAACCACCCTTATTTATATCAGAACCAAGATAACCTAACTATTGCATAGTACAATCATACAACTATGTTCCAATACTTCCGATAAATGGCAACCTTATTTAACACACGTCATGCATTGACGTACAATGACAAGAATGTACACCCATGTCCAATTGCTCATGATAAATGTGCTAAACAACAAAGCTATTAACACCTATATATAAAAGAGGAATTTTCCTAAGACAAATATACTTTTTACTCTAATTCAACCCTACAACCTAAGAAAAATTTCTCTAATTTGAGCATAGGAGTGTTTCTTGCAAGAACACTCTCCATTAGAGCATACGAGAAGCCTTGAAAAACAGTTGAAGACCATTTGTACCAAAAAAGTCATCCATCATGATCATGTCGTACAAAATAGAAAGGATTATGCGATTTGTATCACTGAAGCTCTCCATGCTACTAAGTCTCTAAGGCTCAATGTGTGTTCTTAGATAGATTCATTGAAGCATCAAATATTATCATCATTATTTTTGAAAGTGGCATTTCCCTGTTTTCTAGTTACTCTCACAAAATAATCAAGAAATCATAAAAATTACTAGTAGTTAACAAAAGTTCAAAATTAAATGCATCCAAGATTCCTCAAAACAGTATGCACTAACAAGATATAGCAACAATTTTAGGTTGAAGGTGGCTATATCATAAGCTTGTGAGACATCTTAACAGAATTCATTAATTAAAGAACAGCAATAGCAATACAACTAAATGCAATTTGATTTCATTGAAATAAGCTTGGCTTATTAATCCTCTCTGTCTGCTCTAACAAACCGTGGCCATCCACCCAAGGCATTCTATATAGTTTATGGTAAAGACAAGCCTATCACGTCATTTATGTTCAAGATGGATGGAAAAAAATAGTAGTGTGGTTATGTGATAACAGAACAAATCACAGGGACGGTACAAATGTTTTGCTCATAGGCCACAATAGATAAACATTTTTAAAACAAGGCAGTGATCAAGATAAAATCCAGCAGATGGCCAAAGAAAACAAAGGCACTCTACCTTTAATGTGTTATGTGGTATAAACAGAAATATAAAAACCAAGCTATCGTAATCGAAAATCACCAGTAAGTTGATTTATATACTTGATTATGAAAACAACATGCTATAAATCTGGCAAAAGTCCCACTACCCAAGTCTCAAATCTCAAAAAGTATACACAACGTGAAAGCAAGCAAAACTCAAGGTTCAATTTATATTCGAAATAAAAAAGTTGGAAGTTAGGACAATAGCCTGCAAAAACATTCAAAACTACATTACATTCAAATGATTGATCACATCTCTATAGACACCAGGTAAGAGAGGCAAATCTTTCTGAAAATTGACAACAAATTTCTGCAAAAAATTTTCCTCATTTAAGCAAATAAAAGAACTAAAGCGGAAACTATTCTCAAGCAGACCTCTGGATTTCAAGATTTTAATTACTGAGAATCTAGGTACAATCCTCTTCTCAAAGTTGTAAGCTAGAACTTGAGGATAATCAGCAATATCTTCTGATGACCAACCCATATCCTTCACAAGGAAATTCATTTTTTTGGCAAACATCTCCTCTGACAACTTCATAAAACAAGGAAACTTTCTAAATGCCCGAAGAGCAATTTCGCGGTTCCAGCCCCACCTCTCATAAACCTTAAACTTTGATTCCCGCGCTTCTTTGCTCCTAATAAGCATTTCAATAGCCACAACAAAAGTTGCTTTCAAAGGATTAAACCCAATTTCCTTAGCAGTGTTGAAAGCTTCCACAAATCTGGGATGCTTTGCATACGGTGCAGTTCCACAATGCATCATCAAGAGAGAAATGGAAGCTTGAGGCACACCAAATTGCCTCAAAACCTCGATGTTTGGAACCAAGTCATTCACCATATTAGCAAATGTAAAACCAAATGGGGCACTTTTCAAAGCTCTAACAACTTCTTGATTATCACGAACTATACCCCTAAGTACCTCATAACGTGGGATGAGGCATTTTTCCAAGCTTCTAGCCAAGATAATGTGGTTATCAATTAGGATCCTAGGCATATCGGCGTTTGAAACACCAATAGAACGGAAGAACTTGAATTTAGGCAAAAGGATGTTCTCAGCATTTGCATTGAGCACCCTTGGAAATTTAGCCACAAATTTTGCAAAATGGGTTTTGGAGAAGCCATAGTTGTTGAAAAGATCAAGAACAGCATTTGGGCCATCTGGGTTTTTGATATTCACCCTATGGGAGAGTTTCATAGCCAATGTTGGGGACACCCCACATGAGTTGACGAGGTAAGACACTGTAAAGGTGTCACCTTTATGAAGGTTTCCATCAGATTCAGAGCCAGAAGAGGTGGTTGAAGTGAATGAGTTGAAGAATAAAAGGAAAGCATTGTGTTTGTATTGCAGAAAAGAATCCAATCGAATTTGGGTACCTTTGTTGCAGTGTAAGAATGATGCAGTTAATCTTGCAATGTGAAAATTAGGAACCATTTACTCACTCACAGATTTGAATGGACGTTGTTGATAGCTGAAAGGTGAAACACTTTCACTTGCACACACTTGAGGATGTGATAACGGGGAAAACGCAATGAAGATTATCGTTGAGTTTGGCTACGAACAGTGAAGGTAACAATGTGACATCATGACAAAGACACGCAAATGGGTTTCGGAGAATCCGTCGATGAAGGACACCTATGTGCAGGTTTTTCAGATGAACCCTCCTGAGTTTGGACTTGCGAATGAAACAACGCGCGAAGAGAAGGAAATCAAACGAGGTTAAAGCAGCCAAGTATGCATAAAAAAACAAAATAACTAATAAATTTATGTTATTATAAACTTTTATGTGATAAAATAAATAAAAATTAAATCTTTGGGTCAAAGCCAAGTATGCATGAAAAAAGAGAATAAATTAATATTATTATAAGCTTTTATGTGATAAAATTAATAAAAATAAAATCTTTTTTATTTCTTTTTGGACAGATAATTTAAATAGATTTGTAGACCTTATACTTTCCTTTTATTTTGGTTTATAGTCTGTATACTTAAAAAGCCTGGTTAATGTTTTGCTTTTATCCCTTTAATCATTTTCATTTGTAAAATGTTTTTTTATTATGTGACTAATGTTGTCTATGTAAAGTTTATATGGATATTTACGTCTTGCTATAATGTCGTTGTTCATCAACATCATTTTCCCCGCATCTTCTTTTTTTAATTTCATCACGTAAACTCCAAATTGTGAGTTTTCATTTGAGAACTTCGTTGCATTTCTAATATTCTCTATTAAATAACATAAGACTTAGAATGTACAATAGTAACAAGGAATAGCAATAGTGAAAGTTGTTAACTGCCATGAAGATGATGTAGAAGGGGATTGGAGAGTTTTTATATCTATAATGTTGAAATGAAACTTAAAGAAATGTTTGGTATAGAATTTTAAGTAACATTATGGAGAAATGTGTTTCATATTTGTTTATTGAGTAACTTTTTTAAAAAACTTTTTATTTTTTATTTTCATGCTTAGTATTAAAAAAATTTATCTAAAAATATTATTACTTTTACAAAAATACTCTTAACTTAAATATAAGTCATATAAAACTCCATGCAAATAATGATAAAAGATAAACTTAACAAAAAAAAATAAAGAAAGAGCAGAATAACTTAGATAAATAATACAAAAATAAAATTAATGTTTATCAAAAAGTAAGAGCAGAACAACTATGAAGGAGATGACGTGAGAGAGACTAGTAAAGTAAAGAGAAAAGAAAGTACAACAATAATTTAGAATTAGTAAAGTGAAATAAGATGAAGAAGAGAGTAAGATCAGAATAGCTATGAAGGAGAGGGCGTGAGAGAGACTAGTAAAGTAAAGAGAAAAGAAAGTACAACAATAATTTAGAGTTGGTAAACTGAAGAAGATATTTTTGTCCACAAATTTCAGTTCCTCAACAAAGTTAAGGATACTCACCTATTGAGATAGAAAAATAAAAATTTCAATTTTTTACAATTCAAATTTTTTGAGAATCTCACATCTTTTGAAATATTTTTTTGTATCTTATACCAAACATATAAAGAAATTTTTAAGTAACATTCTCAAAAAAGTTAAAAAAATTTGAATACTAAACACCGCTTAAAAGTAAAATTTTTTGACTCCAAACTTTAAAGTGTGATAATATATGCTACATCTTTCCTATCTTTCTTTTAGGGTATATCATCAACTAAATAATTATTTATTTAATTTGCTAACCACCTCTTCCATACTATTAACTTTTCTTTGTTACTCTCATTTACAACTTGACACTTTATTTAGTACTCTCACTGACAATTTGTTTAATAGCCTAAGGGACACTCCACATGAGTAGACAAAGTAAGACATTATACAAGAGAGTAAGTGATGCAATTTATTTTATATACATTTTTAATAGTTTTTAATTTTAAAATCATATAAATAGTATCTGATAATAAAATAAAAAAGATTATCTTTTTTTTTTTAATTTTATTTAATTTGAAGTGCATCTTACAATTACTTAAATCAACATATATATTATTAACACTTGAACTTTAATCTGTTATCAAACAACAAATTATGTTATGCTGCTCTCTTATTATTAATGTTATTGTTCTTGTCTTATTAACAAATAATATAATAATATTTCACTTAAAAAAAATATTATTTATTTGATAAAATAAATTCTAAAATTTTAATTATCAAATAACAAATTCTTCTTTTGCAAAGATTATAACAATATTAACCAAGTAATAAATTAATAATCATTAATTTACTAATCAAAATTGAGTCTAGCATTCTAGCAACACTCCTATTGTAAGCATACACACTTGTTCCAACAAGTGCTGCATCTCCCATCTAAAAGTTTAATCATTCCCATGCTTAAGATTCTTCTGTTTCATACACCTGTTAACAATGCTTAAATTATTTATTAACAACCAATATCAACTAGTGATCAAACTGGTAATCTATTTTTAACTTATCATGTTAATAATTTAGCAATTTCTAACAAGTATGTAACAAGTCATGTTACAGTATAATCAGTAATAACCAAATATGATACGCTTGGTTTGGAATGTTCATCAATACAGAACTTCTTTTTCAACTGAAACAAACTAACAGTTTATTGCTGGATGTTGCTTAAGCGTTCCATCCATAGGGGGAGACCAATATATTTGCTTGCATACTGAACAATGAATGGATTTCTCTTCAAAGCACTCTGATATCTAGTGGACAGAACTTGAAAGCTCAAACTGTTTGATGTTCATGGGGCATTGCATTCCTCAACTTTTGAGGACTAGAAGTGCTCTTCCATGTAGTGACAAGTTGTGTCAAGAGCTTCTTAACTTATCCTACATTAGCTCTTTCGGTGAAGTTATTATGCTCATTATCTTCAATATGATCGAATATCTGCCTTACAACAACAAAGATGCACACTGGCCATATACCTCTGAAACTCCCCTCTCTGCCTCATCAAAAGAAAATTCTGGCTCTTTGTTTTGGCCCTTAATGAAATTGCACCATTTGTCCGTAACCCTACCACTGAAAATGTCAAAATCTGATAGGCCAGCTTATGACAATTCAACTTGTTGAATATATACTCTTCCTGTTCTAGCACTATAATGATCAAGGATACGTAGTTACATACAACATAATTTTATTAGTTTTGATCAATGCTAAGTGGACAGAATCACTGAGAAATAAGATAAAGCCTTTTTCTTTTCAATGAAAACTCTTAACAAATCATTTTATTTAAATTTGAAAAAATTAGTATAAACCATAGATTCACATGCCTAATATAGATATCTTACTGGGGTCTGGGAAAGCAAAAATACATCATTTTTTTGGGATTAATGAAAAGGAAAGTCATTATAATTGAAGGATTTCTTCTTAGTTCTATCTCAAACTATATTCAAAATTGAAATTAAACACAATCCTAAGACAAGTTGAATCCGGTGTAGTTATTTTTCTAGGGTGAGCCTTGACATAACAGTAAGGTTGCTGCATCCCAATACTTGAAAAACCTCTTTGCTAGAGCAAGGTTAGGGCCGGCTGTGTACATTTACCCTTTCCCAACCCCACTTGGTGGGCATCCCATTTGTTAATGTAGTTATTTCTATTCAATTACTGGGATTAAGCTTTAATGTTTGAAGTTTACTATAATTTCGACGCGTAATTGTCACATCACTATTGTTTTTACATTCAAATATAAGGCATTGCTTTTATTCAAAGATCCTTACTCTACTCTGGCATCTCTGAGAATGTCGGTGAGTTGATCCAAGCGGCAAGAAGTGTAGACATGTTTCTAAAGAGTGGTTCACTACCTTTATTTAACCATCAGTTTGTAGACGGTAAGAAGTGCTGAATTTCAATTTGGTGTTAGCTTGTTTGAATAACTCCTTCAAAGTACTCAAGAATATTTAATCTCTATCAGAAACGACGGAGGAGGAAAAGCCATGGAGTTTTACAATTTCTTTTACAAAGATATGAGCTACATCCACTGTAGTGAGTTTGAAGGGAGAAGAAGGGGAAAGAGATTAAAGTTCTCTCTTGTTTGAATGTTTAATATTGAGAAGAAAGAATGATAGGAGAATTTAATTATATAAATAATTTTAAAAATATTTTTATTTTTAATTTTTTTTTTAAAAAATTGTCACTTGAAAAATTAATAATTTTTTTAAAAATTTTAAAATCTTATTTGTGAAATAGTATAAAAGGGTGGGAGTGATCAAATTTCTTAAAATGAGAGAACTCAAAAAACAAGCTTTTGAAAGGTTTAGAAAAACTCTCAAAACCTTTTTATCCTAATTAAACAACTCCCAAACAAGATTAAATTCCTTCCCTTCCCTTCCCTCCTAAACCTAACTCTCAAACATAGTCTTAGACAACAATAAGATAAAATCCATAGAAATGTCAGACCAGACCTACGCAATGGCAACAATAGGCAATGGCTACAATAATCCTACAAGAGATAGGTCTCATGCTTATTTCGTTGACAAATATTGCATTGCATAATAAACTCTTTGATATCCCTTCGCATACCCTCCCAATATAACACTCCAGCCACCCTTTTGAAGGTTCTGAAATAGCCTGACTGTCCCCGAGTAGGTGAACTATGGAGTTCATGAATGATGGTTGGGATCCTCGAAAACTGTTTAGGCAGAACCAGCTTTCCCTTGTAGTATAATTTTCCCCCTCTCAAAGTAACTCCTATATTATGGTTTGTAAGCAAGTGTCCTTCCATACTTCATCATCCCTGTCCTCCCATTCATCAAACTGTAACACTGTCATGGCTGAAAATATGGATTTACTAGAAAGTGCATCAGCAGCTGAATTTTCTTTTCCTGGTCTATATCAAGTCTCAAATCATACCCTATGTCAATAGCCTTTGTTCCGTGAGGAATTTGAGACCTTTTTTTTTATCAGTAATGATGGTAAAGTGACTGCCCATTAAGTAATGCCTCCACTTCTGTACAGCTTGTACCACAGCCATCAACTCTCTTTCATAAACTGACTTATTCTGCCCTCTCTACAGAAATTGCTTGACTCCAAAAGGCTAAAGATTTGCCTTCTTGTAATAGAACAGCCCCTAAACCTTTACATGAGGCATCAGTCTCCACAACAAAAGGTTTCACAAAGTCAGGGACTGCAAGAATAGGTAGCTGGGTTATTGCTGTTTTCAACTCCTCAAAAGCCATTTGTGCTTCCGTGCTCCATTTGAAACCATCCTCCTTCAATAACTGAGTCAAAGGTTGTGCAATTTTCCCATAACCACGCACAAATCATATGTATTAGCCAGTTAAACCCAAAAATCCCTGTAAACTTTTGAGATCTTTAGGGACAGGCCAAAGTCACATTACTTCTACTTTTTTGGATCAGCTGAGACACCATTAGCTAAAATAATATGGCCTAGAATTTCAGACTTTGCCGCCCAAAGGTGCATTTCTTTTTGTTCACCTTTAATTTGTGTATGGTGTACTTGTAACACTTGCAACACCTCTTTCAAGTGAGCTAAGTGCAGCTCAACTGAGGGGCAGTATACGAATATATCATAAAAAAGACCACCACAAACTTCGGAAGGGAAGGCTGAAGTAACTCAGTCATGAGAGCTTGAAAAGTGGAGGGTACATTTGTCAATCCAAATGGCATCACCAGAAATTCATAGTAACCTTCTTGTATTCGAAAGGCTGTCTTCTCTACCTCTTATTTTTTATTAAAATCTGATGATAACCAGATTTAAGTCCAGCTTGGAAAATAGTGTTGCTCCTGCCAATTCATCTAATAACTCTTCTATGACTGGGATTGGAAATTTATTGGGTATAGTGACCTTATTCAAATATGAAAGAATGCCTCTTTATTGCAAAACCGTAATTCCCAATGCTACACCAACGTGGTTCAAATTAAGAATAGGAAGAATTATACAATTGCTATGCCCTGACGTAATTCAAGAGACCACCCTCTCCAAACCAGCCTAGTTCTATCCTAAAAAAACTCCCTTCACTAACTACCCCGAGCTCTTATTTATATTGCTAAAAGGGCTAGTGTCCTAACTACTGAATTAGTTAGTTACAACTTATGAGTTCTCCCTTTTTCTCCTACTATATACATTTTTAAACCTATCAAATTTATGTATAATTGAATACAATACTCCAATTTGAAGGACTCAAGAGTACAAGCACCAATCTTGTTGGGCAACACAGATTCCTTACTCACTACTCACAATAGGTTCCATTCAAGATTTTTATCTAAAGAACTCATATTTTAAGACAATGTCCTCACGTGTTTGAGGTTTTGGGCACCATCATTTTCTTAGTTGACTAGTCTAAAATTTGGATTTAGATTTTGATGTATAAAGAATGAAATATAGAAGTTTCAGTTTCAGACTCCAGTTTTGGGCATGATCATCCACCTGCATATCAACTGGGTACATTGAGACTGTATGTGAGAGTGCAGCATCAAACAGATCATAAGGGAAGCCTTTAGAAACATCAGTTAATCTCTGCTCTCCTCTGTCTAGTAGCTCATATCAGCATCACACTGCATTCCACATAGTTTATGGTAGTTTTAAGTATAGACATGCCACTGACCACAGTATATGTCATTTTTGCTTAAAACATATGAAAAAACTGTAGTGTGGTTATGTGACAACAAAATAAATAACAGGAAAGAAACAAGTGCTTCCCATAATATATAAACACGTTTTAATATATAAACATGTCGAAAACAAAAATTTAGCGTCAATACAAAATTCATTGGAATCATCATCTCTAACCTACAAAACATAGGAGTTTTCTTTTAATGTGTCACATGCAATCGACATAAATAAATCAAGATACATAAATTGAAAATTACCAGAAAGTGGATTGCTATATTTGACTATAAAATCAATACGCTACACCAAAAGTCCCTCTACTGAAGTGAAATGAAACTGAAAATGTTGACACACAAAAGTGTAATCAGATAAAACTCAAAGTTCAGTTTAGCATCGGACAATAGCCAGTAAAAACCTTCAAAGAACATTCTGACGATTAATCAAATTATCTTGGTAGACATCTGGTAAGTGAGGAAAATCTTGCTGAAAATTGATGACAAATTTCTTCAAAAATTTTTCCTCTGTTAGGGACATTAGGGAACCTATGGACAAATTATTCTCAAACAGACCTTTTGATTGCAAGATTTTAATTACTGAGAATCTAGGGATAATCCTCTTCTCCAAGTTGTAGGCTAGAATCTGAGGCCGTTTAGCAATAACTTCTGATGGCAAACCCATATCCTTCACCAGGAAACTCATTTTCTTTGTAACCATCTCCTCAGACAACTTCATAAAATTGGGAAATGTCCTAAATGCTTGAATTGCCATATCATGGCTCCAACCCCACTTCTCATAAACCTCAATTCTTGATTCCCAAACCTCTTTACTCATTGTTAAAAGCACTTGAAGGGCAAATACAAAAGTTGTTTTCAAAGCATCAAACCCAATTTGCTCAACTTTCTTGACAGCTTCAACAAATCTGGAATGCTTACAATACACTACACGCGGATAATGTGCCATCAATAGAGAGATTGAAGCTTGAGGCACACCACATTGCCTCAAAATCTCAATGTTTGGAACCAAAATATTCCTTACGTTACAATATGTAAAAGCATATGCTGATTTTTTCAAAGTTCTAACAACCTCCTTATCATCACAAACTACACTCTTTAGGATCTCGTAACGTGGGATGAGACACTTTTTCAAGCTCCTTCCAAAGATAAAGGGGTTAGCAATTAACATCTCAGGCATGTCAATGTTGGAAACCCCAATGGAACTAAAGAACTTGAGTTTAGGCAAAAGGTTATTCTCTACTTTTGCAGTAAGCACCCTTGGATATTTAGCCACAAATTTTGCAACATGGGTTTTGGAGAAGCCATAGTTCTTGAGAAGATGAAGGACAGCATTTGGGCCATCTGGGTTTTCAAAATTCATCTTTTGGGAGTGTTTGATAGCCAATGTTGGAGACACCCCACATGAGTTGATGAGGTAAGACACTGTAAAGGTGTCATCTTTGGGGTTGCTTGTATGAGAAATGCATGAGTTGAAGAGAAAAAGTGAAGCACAGTAGTGTTTTTGTTGCAGCAGAGAAGCAAATTGGATTAGGGTACCCTTGTTGTTGAAGTGTGTGAATGATGATGCATTTGCAATTAATCTTGTAATGAGAACATTAGGCATTATTTACTCACTTAGAAATTTGAATGCACGTAGTTAAGTGCTGCAGATTATGAACCTTTGAACAACTTCGTCAGATTCGGTAGAGATGGAATCGAAATTTTGTGCTTTGCCAACGGCCACCCAACTTCATGCTTTGGTTGGGGGAAGAGAGGCAAGAAGTTTAGGTTAGTTGGTGGGAAGGTTTTGGGGAAAGGTTTTGTTTTAAGTGGGTATTGAATATAAATATAATCGACTTAAAATTATGAGATAATATTTTTTTTTATTTTACCCATTTTCTTACTTTAAGAGCTAAATTTTTTGAGAGATGATTTTTAAAATTAAGTTATTAAATAATAATATAATATAATTTTTTTTTTGTAAAATATGATAAGAAAAAAATTAATTTTTAATATTCTTTTATTTAAAATTTTTCATGATTTCGGATAATTATAGTCTTAACTAATAGTAACACGACATTTATGTATTTTTGTTGTTGTTGTAAATCACCCAAAAATTTCTCTCATTTCACGATTTCAGAGTGAATTTTATTTTTAAAATTTAGTTTTAGTCCTACGCAAATATCTAATTTTACTAGACAACCAAGAGAAATAAAAAAAATATTATTATATATTTAGAATAATTATATATATATATATATATAATATCTTAAATTGAAGATAATTTATTTAATTAATTTAATTTTTTTCTCTAAATTCTCACATTTTGGGAAGTTACAGTTGAATATTTTAGGAGTGTTTTTTAGGATTAATTTTTTATCGTACCAAATAACTTTTGTTATATAACATGTATTTATTTTTTTATTTAATATAATATAATATTTATTATTAATAGTTATGTAATATAATTTTAATTATTTATTTTTAAAAATAATTTAATTTAATGACACTCTGCGGTGCAAAAATAAATAATTTATTAGTTCCTTCCAAAATGTTGCTTTAAACATGAAAAGATCGTAAAATCTTTCTGCTCTCCACAAATCAAATAACATGTTAGTATTATTTAATTATCTATATGTTTTGATTTTAATTTTTTTAAATTTAATATCTTTTATTCTTGGTACCTGACAAATGTTGATGTAATTAAATAGGAGGTTGTTACAAATCATAAAACATAAATTTTGAAAAAAAATAGAGAGACAAATACAATTTTTTTTAAAAATTTAAAATTTTACAAAAATATTAAGTTTAAAAATATATTTAAGCCATTAATAAACCATCAATTTACACTAAATGAATGCATATAAAGTTATTCAGAAATTTTTATGTTAATCAATTATTTAAAAAAAATAGTGATGGAGATATTATTTTGGTTTAAGTATGTAAATTATATAATATAATCTTTCAAAACCTTTGTTTTCGGTAAAAGATACTATTTTTTGAATATTTAACTGAGATACTTTAAATTTGTGTGTGTGGCTTAGAATTTTTACTTGAATCAACATATGTTGAATTTGAAATTTGAAGGAGAAAAGCTAAAATGGATCCCACTAATATGAATTCACTTGATTTTTTTTTTATTTCTTAAATTTCAGTCATTATTATTAGAAAGAGTTATAAGCTATTATGTTTAAAAGGTTAAAAATACACTTTGAAAATATATTTTGTATTAACAAATAATAGTAATAGAAATCTTTTAAATTTGTCTGTAAATGAAAGTCACATTCATTTAATCACTTTTAAGTTTTGCATTTTTGTAATTTCTCTCTTTTTTTTTTTTTTTTCTATTGTAACATATTTGATTGTGTATATTTGACATTACAGGTTTCATAGTTTTTAATTTTTTTTTCACTTTAATCACTCTAAAAGACTATAATAAACTTGCATAAGCTCATGGTTAATTATTAAATATGATAAAATATATTCATATATGTTCACATTTTCTTTTACCTAAAGAAGTGATCTCGAATGATACTAGGGAGAGGTTAAGAGGATACAAAATTACAAAAAAATAAAAAATAATATTACTTTTTTTTAAAAATTTACATAACTAATTTAGTAATTGCTAAGCCCATCATTAGGATGGTCCAACAGAATTCAAACATGAGGATATATTAATTGAGAAAAAGAAAAAAGAAAAATAGAAGTTGCAAAGATCCTTTAGTACTTAAGTTAATCTTTAAACATAATGAGTTAAGTACATGTCATTGGACTTGAACCCAACTTAAACATATTGGTTCATAATGTAAAAGTGTGATATACATCATATCCAATGAGCATTCACTACTGGACAATTTAATTTAATTTGACTTATTATTGAATTGACTGAGATAAAGTTGAGATGAATGAGTTGCATTAGTCCAATAAAAGGTCATAATGATCTACTTATGACCCAGCTTATACTTAACAGTATAAGAATGTTAATTTCATGATGTGTTAAAAGAATTTCATGGTAAATTGAGATGTAATATTATAAATCAAAAGCAAGAAGTATAAAAAACACTTAATATTAAAATTAGAGACTTATGCAAAGATTTATTGTATATATAATATAACTTTTTCCTCTTCTTTCAAGTTGATTATTTGTTGCAGAGTCTTATCAATTTAAAATTCATTCATTCCTACACAAGATTGTACCCATATAATAAACTTTTAAACTATTTGTAAATTATTGATTAACAACAGTATCAATTAGTAAACAAACTGGTAATCTATTTTCAACTTATCAATGATCTATTCTTATGTCAAAAACTTTTAAGACATTTTGTTAACTAATAATTTAATCATTGTTAACAAATATATCATGTTATAGTATAATCTATTGCCCTCTTAATTTATGTGGAGGAATCAACATCTGTCAAGGAAAGTATGCATTAGACATACAATCTGATGCTAGTCTCCTAGCAGCCAAGGTTGCACCAACTCCTATGGTAAAGATCACATGACTTTATCAATGTGATTTTAATCCATACTCTGATGTTTCAGCCTATAGAAGACTTGAAATTGATGTATTTGACAACTATTCTAAAGCCTGGCTGAATATTAACAACACAGATCTCTGATATTCCTTAGCATTATTAGATCTTGCTTCTATAAAGGATCCTTTAACCCTTTCTTCTTAGCCAATCTAGCACCAAAAGCAGACACATTGAAAACATCCTTGAGCAGGATCAAAAAATTAAACTAATTGTAAAACTACGGATTCAAAATCTTCTGCTATCCCTTAATAAATGCTTGGATACATTAATATAACTTATCATTTAGTAAAGGTGAAAATTTAGTTCAAAATCCTATTCTCTGGTTAATTGTCAGGAAATACTACCCCAATTCCTATTTATCTGTTCATAGAAAGAAAAAAATTACACAAACCAAAAAAATCAATCATTTAATTGGAATTAATTGCTAAAGTTTTCAATTTATCCTTTATCAATGCACTCTTAGACTACTCAAATAGTATAAATATTTTATACGGACCAAAAATATAAGTAGGAAAGCATAACAATTATTAATGTGTTGAATTTTTAAATAGAGAGAACGAGGAATAAGTTTCTTCTCTCTTTCGACAAATAAATTGAAACAGGAGTAATATATAAATTCAAAAAAATACATGATGTTTATGAAATTGATAAATTTGTTAATCTTTTATTTACTTTTATAAATATTATATAAATTTTTTAATTTAAAAATAAAATATTTATCCTATCTTCTATTTTCATTCAAAACAACTCCCACGTATTAGTAAAAAGATAACATAGTGGCAAACTGCTTTCCTTTCGGTATTGATTAACTAAAGTTTTGATTTTGAATTTTTATACATGCAAGAAACTTCAGTATAGACTCACTCACTACATCAATTTAAAAATAATTGGATGAGCTGAGGATAAAGCTGCTCGCTGTTAATGCTGTACTCAATGACGCTTATAATGATGTGAAGGCATGGCTTGATGAGTTGAAAGATGCTGTCTTGGATGCAGAAGATTTGTTGGATGAAATCAACAGTGAATCTTTGGGAGGCAAGGTGGAGGGACAATCTAAAAGCTTTTCTACTCAGGTGAAATCATTACATTCTTCTCCCTTTAATCAACTCTGCAGGAGCATGAATTCCAACCTTGAAGCAATAACGGGAAGGCTAGAACATTTCGTGTAACAGAAAGATATTATTGGTTTGCAGTGTGTTTCTAGGAGAGTCTCTTATACCCAAGATACATATTTGTTCGTTGAACTCGTGGTCGCTAGAGAGGATGACAAAGACGAGTTACGAAACATGCTTATATTTTATGACGATGATGATGAGAGCAATAATAATGTAGAAGTGATGATGGGGTCTCGGCAAAACAATCCTTGCTCAATACCTTTATAATGATAGTGAAGTGAACAAACATTTTGATTTGAAAGCTTGCGCGTGCTGATGATTTTGATGTTTTCAGGGTAACCAAGAAAATCGGAGTCTATCACACTTAAAATTGTAATATTACTAAACTAGATGTTCTTCGTGTTGAACTATAGAACAGCTTAATAGATAAGAAGTTTTTGCAAGTACTTGATGACCTCTGGAACAACAATTATAATGATTGGCATCACCGAATAGCACCTTTTGGCAGCGGGAAAAGCGAAGTAAGATCATTGTGACGACCAGACAACAAAGAGTTGCTGACATCACACATACACTTCGCATTCACAAGCTGAAGCATCTAATAGATGAAAACTGTAGGCAAATACTTGCAAATCTTGCATTCAGAAATGAAGGTTATGACAGATATCCAAGCCTTGAAGAAATTGGTAGAAATATTGCAATAAAATGCAATGGCATACCATTAGCTGCAAAAGCTTTGGGAGGTCTTCTGTGATCAAAAGTTGATGTAGAGGAGTGGATAAGAATTCTGGACAGAAGCTTATGGGCACATGATGATGTTTTTCCAGCTTTACGCATAAGTTATCGTCATCTTCCAGCCCAATTGAAAAGATGTTTTGCTTATTGTTGATTTTTTTCCAAAACAGCATTTGTTGAATAGGAAGGAGTTGATTTTGTCATGGATGCCTGAAGCTTTCTACAACAATCCAAAGGGGTCAAGCAATGGAATCCATAGGTTCGGAATACTTTAATGAATTACTACTTAGATCCTTACTTGAAAAAGACAAAGCTGAAGAAGAGGAAAAGTTTCGAATGCATGACCTCATTTATGATTTAGCTAGACTTGTATCTGGGAGAAGTTCTTGCTACTTTGAAGACAGTAAAATCCTAGAAACTGTATTTCAGGGTGTAGATGAGATAAAGTGTTTGCGCACCTTTCTACCACAATCTCTGTATTATCAATGTTACTTGACCAAATCAGTGTTGTATGGTTGGCTGGCGAAACAACATTGTTTGAGAATACTGTCATTGTTTGGTTACAAAAAATATTAGTGAGCTACCTAAATCAATTGGCAATTTGGTGCTCCTGCGGTATCTTCATATTCTAATTTTGTCATTTGTATTAGTGATTGCAACTATTGTATGTTGCTTCCGCCATTTAGACAATTACCTTTTCTTGAGTAGCTTGTCATTAAGAGGATGAGAATGGTGAAGCAAGTTGGTCACGAGTTCTAATGCAAGAATGCAAATTCCTTTTCCTTTCATCCATTTCCATTGTTGGAAAGTCTTGAGTTTGAAGAGATGTCAAACTGGGTGGAGTTCCTACCATTTGAAGGTGAAAGTAGCAACTTTCCTTTTCCTTGTCTAAAGCATTTGCGTTTATCCAAGCACCCCATGTTGAGAGGAAATTTGCCCAACCATTTACCTTCATTGAAAGAGGTGCACATCACAGAGTGCAACCAACTAGAGGCCAACTCATGCTATCTGCACTGAAAAACCCCAATTGAAGCAATGAGTGTTAGAGAAGGGGGAGAGGGTTTGTTATCTTTGCTTGACAACTTGCCTTATGGTGTACTATCAATTGAAAAGTGTAACGGCTTGCGGTTTTTGCCAAGAATGATACTCAATGCCAATTGTCTTCAAGGTTTGACTTTTGAAAATATCGATAAGAGCTGCAATTCTTTCATGTCCTTTCCGTCAGACTGCTTCCCAGCTCTTCAATGGCTTCTTATCATTTGTTGTCCCAACTTGGAAGCAATTACTAACAAAGGTGGAGAGGCTGCTTCTAATTAGAATTTGGTAATATCAATGATTGTGAGAAGCTTAGGTCACTTCCACAAGAGATGGATCTCCCTGTCTAAGGTACTTGAACCTTTCTATGCTTCCACAGCTTGCATTATTGTCCCCAAGGTGGTTGCCTTCCAGTCTAGAATGACTTGATGCGGATTTTGGAATACTATCACTTATGTCTAAACAGAGTTATGTTTCCAATTCCAATGCCTCACTTCTCTGTCGCATCTCTCTCTTAAAGGTTTTGGGGAAGAAAATGTCCTCAACACCTTGCTGAAGGAGCTATCACTGCCCACTTCTCTTAGAAAGCTTGTAATCTTCTATTGTCAGACGCCTTTTGATGATCTAAATGGGCTTCAACATCTCACTTCTCTCTGAGAGCTCGAAATCCGGTATCGTGGAAGGCTTGGTTCATTGGCAGAAGATCAACTGCCATCGTCTCTTGAATTACTGTGGATAAAGAGGTGCCCTTCACTAGAAAAAAGGTATCGAAATCAGAAAGGGAAACACTTCTCTAAGATTGCTCACATTCCTGCCATCATGATAAATGATAAAGTCATAATATGAGCTGCTGCATCGGCAGGCAGGAATCATCCAGTGGTAAAGCCTTCAAATTTTTTTATATGATTTAAGACCCACTAGTGTTGGTGGCCATCAGTGCTCTGGATTTCAAATCAGTTAACAGTTTTATAATAAAAATCTCTGATTCATGTGCAGAATTTGAGGATGAGAACGAGTTCTTGAGCTATCATAGAGCTTGCATAAGTGCAGATGATGAAGAAGGGTCTTGCAGCTCTCAGGAGGGCCTTTTTCCCGGTTGTCATGAACCCGAAAGGATGTGTAGCTTCCACCTCTCACCCTCCTTGGTATTAGCACTCTGTTCTTTTTAATTAAAAATATCATTAATAGCCTGCTCGTGATTCATCGGATTACATTTTTATGGTTAGTGGTATGCTATGTTGTGATCATGTATTCATTTGAACATGCTAAGTTCTTTCCTGAATCAGTGCAGTGAAAACAAAGTGCAGAGTAGTGTATCTTATATCTGATATTAAGGATTAAATGTACAAACTTGCATGGTAATCTCAGTATCCGTAAACAAAATTGTTCTCAAGACTCAATAGTATATACAATGTTACCTTGTCAAGAAGATGACAACTAAATAAAACACTTTGAATATGGTATAGATTTTACTTATAAATAAATCTATTGCAGCTACGAATTGTACTCTTTATCATACCAATAATTAACCTCAATAATAACTATAAATGCATTGCATTTCCAGTGACCCATTACGCATCAAGTTCAATTTTTTGCTTTAATTTTAGGAAATAACTAAAACGCACATTTTACTGTTATATCTTGAAAGGCTCCATAATATTTACTCATAACCCCATGAGTTTCATATTCACTTTCTAGATTTCTACATTATTCACACTAGGAATTCTCTCAGTTTTGTTTATTTAAGAAATTATGGTTTAGTTAACTTCATATACTATTTGAATAATCCATTTCTTTGCAGCTTATTTCCTTATGCTTAGTTAACTTCTCAAATTACAATTATTATTTGAATGATTCACTAGGTAAGTTACAAGTTATTTCATGTTAATTTGCTTGAACAATTGGTTCTAATCCAAAAGAAATTTCTTAGATCGAGTTTAAATTTTAATGTTAAAAATACTGTCTTCTGTATGATTTTGGTGCTAAAATAGTCTATTATGTTAATAATAATAATGGAATATTGTCATATTTCTAATATTTATTTCTTATTTCTAGGTTTTAGGTGGCAGAAGTTCTTCTTGCTTTGGATTACTCGCTCATATTTGGAATCATCTCCAAAGACTTTGAATCTCCAGAATGTGTTTGGGAGAGAAGATGGTTACATAATGATGTCAAACTTTAAACCAAATTTAATCATGGGTGAAGGGCATAGCAATGTTGTGGATTGGTGGATATTGGCAAGATAATAAGTAAAGCAAAACAATGCTTGCTGTGATGGTCCAAGTCAACATGGACCAGAGTTTGAAACATTTGCAGCAGAGGCCTTTCATGCATCTCCCGCTGTCATAGTTGCAAATGCTTTTGACATCTTTTTATTTTTCCATAGATTAAGTGCTAGTCTAGGCCATTGTGATGGTATCATGCTATCAATAGACTAAGTTGCAGGAGATAAAGAGCATGATGGTATGGTTTAGTTTGTAAAGAAACACCTTGTATAAATGGACATATAAGTAACAAAGGATCTCTGTTCTAAACTTCGTCTTCCTTTATTGCATTAGCCTACATTTTTTATAAAATAGGACTGAATAATCCTTTGATAATGGTCGTGATTCGGGCTTTTAAGGAGTATTCCTGTTTTTACTGATTTCTTTATTTGTTTTTGCAATTCTAGAATTCCATTCCCCAAGGTCGAATTCTCCCATTCACTAGTCAATTTTCTTTGGATTTTAACACCACGTAGTAACAGGATAGAAACTTTACTTCAAAATTATGACTATAAAATTTGAGAACTAACAGAGATAAGTCTTTTACTTCATGACTTGTCACTCCAATGACACACAACAAAATTGATTATTATCATCTAAACTAGGTAGTCGATGAGGAGGAGAAAAAAAAAACTATATCCAAAATAACTATGATGTGCACCAATGGGTCGGGGGAGGGGTCAATTCCTAGTACAGGGTACAAGTTAAGGTGATCTCCAAAGGATAGTGTTCATGCAAGAAACACTTCACGCGTCAGTAGAAATTTGACCAAAGTAAGGGTATAAGATTATGAGGGCTTATTTATTTTTTTAATGTTTTTTAAAAAACCAATTCTTAAAATAATGTTTTTTTTAAAAACATATTCCCTGTCTGGATCTTTTTTACCACGTCAAGAACTGTTTTGCATACTGTCTCGACAAAATATATTTTTTTTAATTTTTTAAATGCTATTTCGTACAGAGACGAAACTACGTATGTGTGCAGAGACAAAACTCACAGAATTGCGCCATGTGTCATGATCTGGATCAATTTACGAAACTGGTTAAAAAAAGAAAAAAAATTATATTCTAATATTATATTAAAATTTATTAAAAATAGAAAATTATAAAATTTAAGAATAAAAATTTATATAATTTTTAATTAACTTAATTAATAATTATAAATATATTAAAAATATATATTGAAATTACACTATATATACTGTATGACGATAAAAAGAATACTTGCTAATAAAATTATAAATTTAAAAGTAATTATTTTAAAGTGAGCCACATTTTTTTTTTCAAACTAGTTTTGTAAGTTAGGTGTGATATTTAAAAATCTTAATAATTTATGTTTTTATTATTTTTTATAGTTATTTTTTTCTTAAATTAAATATGTTTAGAATTATATCAATAGGGCTGATTTATTATTTTAATATTTTTAAAAAAATAAATTCTTAAAATAGTAATTTTTAAAAATATATTTTCTATCTGAGGTCTGTTTTGTTACATCATTCCTCCATTGTCTTGACGAAACATATTTAATTAAAAAAAATTGAATATTTAATTAAAATATATTAAAAATAAAAAAATCATAATATTTAATTTAAGAATAAATTATTAAAATTTAGATAATTTTTAATTAAATTAATTAATAATTACAAATATATTAAAAAAATACAATGTTAAGAATTTGTTAATTTTAGTTTAAATATCTATAAAAAGAATTATAAAAAATACATATTTATTATATAAATTATTAAAATTTTTAAATATCACACCTAACTTACAAACTAGTTTGAAAAAAAAATGTGACTCATACTTTAAAACAATTAATTTTAAATTTATAATTTTATTAGCAGATATTCTTTTTAGTGTCATATAGTATACATAGTATAATTTCAATACACATTTTTAATATATTTGTAGTTGTTAATTAAGTTAATTAAAAATTATATAATTTTTTTATTCTTAAATTTTATAATTTTTTATTTTTAATAAATTTTAATTAAATATTAAAATATAAATTTATTTTTTTTAACCAGTTTCGTAAATTGATCCAGATCATGACACATAGTACAATTCTGTGAGTTTCATCTCTGCAGTAAGCAGATAATAACATATGGCACAGTCAGATAGTTTTGTCTCTACTAAAGATGAAATAGTATTTAAAAAATTAAAAATATATATATTTTATCGAGAGACATAGCAAAAAAAACTCTAGACAAAGAATATGTTTTTGAAAAATATTATTTTAAGAATTTGTTTTTTAAAAAATATTAAATAAATAAATAAGCCGATTATGAGATAGCAGCCAAAGGGTTCCTTCCGTGTATACAGGCATCATTAAGTGAGGTGGATTTGTTGTTATGTGCACCTTTCATTGTAATTGTTTAGGTATAGAAGTGCGTCCAGCGCCTATACAGTACGCACAACTTGTCCAATAAAGCTAACAGTGTGTCAGGAATGTCAGACTTATTAGGTAGAGAAAAGATGTTTGTGTAACAGTTGTTCCTTAGGTTTACATCTGAATCTGAGGTGGGCCTAGGTCACGGTTCATCCTTAGTGGATAAGTGGTTTATAACCAGTGTAATAGTAAATGGCCGCAGTCAGTGGTGAGCTCAATCGATGTTCCCTTTCACGACAGAGCTAGGCAGAGTGGCAGTGGCAACGTAGTTTAACTGGGGTCAAGTATTTGACTCGGGAAAATGACCAAAGATCAACATTGACTTCTATTCTTATGTCAAGTTCCTTTGATCTTGGACACTGGATGGTCTGAGATTTTCATCAAGTCCTTCAAAGTGTTTGGGTTTAAAGCCAAGTCCAAGGCAATCCACAATCTTTTTCAATCATCATTGTTTTTTGAAATAATTTCATTATTTTTTTTATGATAATGAAAAAAATACGGCAATTGCAAAATTTGTAAATAAAATTATTAACTCACTTGTATTTTATATCCATTCTAGCCCAATTACATCATCTAAGTAGCTAGCCAAACACCACAATCATTTCTACCATTGTAAACAAGTTAGTAAGTCAAATTTTCATATACTGAAAAATAAAATAGATTAAAACAAAATAAACAACTACACACGATCCATTTTCTTGGGTATTAGACCTCGGAGTATGAGAAGAACCTCCAAAGAACTATACCATAAAAAGTAGCAATTGTAGGTAGTGTCCAAGGCCCTATAAACCCCACACTACAATTTCATCCCTTCCAATGTTGGACTCAAGTCTCATACCTTGCAATTAGGATCCTAGCAGCGTATTTTCCTGTCACCTTTACAAATTCCAAAATCTGTATCTGTGAAAATAGCTTTCCTATTTAGTAAAAAAATATATTAATATAGTACGAAACTTATTATGCAACAGTGAACACAATATTTGAGATAAAAAAATGTAAATCAACATGTCAATGGTGTCAGAGCTTGAAGTTCCAAAAATATATGCTGCAACAGCAACATCAGTTAACCTCATTTCTTGTGTTATTTTAAATAATGAAGATATCCACTGAAATCCAAATTGACACACAAGATACATTGTTTCCAACAACTTCAACTTTACTATTTTGCTATAAATTTGCAGGTAATTTTGTAACCAGTAGGAGTACTAAATTTGTTCTTCACTTTTGATTTCTCAACTAATATATTTGTTCGATTTTATTCCTCTACTTTTTAATTGCATGATTTTAGTTCCCTTATTATCTTAATTTAGTACCCAAATATAGTGTTCTTCTCTATCCTGAACCCTAGTCAGAAATCGCCATGCCATTGCCGCTTATGCATCTCCTCTTTCGTTACCTGCCTCCTCTACTCTTCCTCCATTGCAATAACTTCTCTTCTTCACTTCTATGTTGCCTTCACCTGCCCCTCCTCCTCCTCTTTCTCAAAGATACAAACTTTGAGCATAGATCTTAGCCTTCTCCTTGTTTTTAAGTGAGTGCATCTGCTTGTATAAGCTTGCATTGAAAATTGGCTTGTTTTGAAGGAGGGCAAGAGTATAAATGAATTCTCCTGTTGGGAATTGCCAACTCTTCCAACCACTAGTTCGTGGTGTCGCATTAGATTAGTCGTTGTTCGCATTGGCGCCTCTGTGTCAAAGTCCATTCTCCCATAGTCCTTTTTGCATGTGGAATGATGGTAGAAAAATGCTCTACTGATGGTGTTTGTGTGATGATTATGAAAGATGTCGATGAAATGATGGTGGGAGGAGGAGGAGGAGGAAAAGAAAGCAGCGATAGATCAAGAGAAGAAGAAGAAAAAGAGGAGAAAGACCAATTTAATAAATATATTTTTACTGTGGTTGATGATTTTAGGAAACGTATTTGGACCTTTTCTTTATTAATCTAAATCCGAAACCAGACAACTTCTACAAAATTTTACCACTTTAACTCAATTGGGTAAAAGGATCAAAGTTATAACGACAGACAATGGACTTGAGTTTGTCACGGCAAAATTTTATGCTGAAAATAGAATAATCCACCAAACCTCGTTTGTTGAGGATCCACAAAAGAATTTTGTGGTGGAAAGGAAGCACACACTTCTAAATGTTACCATTCCAAATGTTACCAGGTCAGTCTGATTTCAAAATTGCCTAAAGTTTTTGGGTGTTATGATGTTTAGACATGTCACGCATCTTATTAACAATTTTTTTCCAAACTTGAAAAATAAATCACCCCTTGAACTGGTATTTGATAAACCTCCAACTTTAATTGATTTAGAATTGTCTGGGTGTCTGACTTTTGCTCTACTCCTACACAAAATAGAACTAAGTTAGATGGAGCAAGGAAGTGTGTATGTTTTGGGGGTAAAATCTCCAAAGGCTATGTACTTACGGAACTTCATCCTAGAGAAATATTTGTTTCTAAGAATGTTGTGTTTGATGAGCATGTTCTTCCTTATACTATGTTTGTTGTTAATAAATCTGAGAATGAAAATAGTCCCGGTAATTCTGTTTTGGATTAGGTTTTCTATGATACCCTTATCTCTCAATCTACTTTAGTTCATGTTAAACAACGATTAGAGTCACCAACTACTCATATTTCTCATGACATGGCACAAATTGCTCGTACATGTGACAATCTCCAACCTAAACCATCTCTTTGAAGATCCAGTGGAGTAAGGTATGTGCCTCATATCTGTATGACTTCCACTGTAATAATAATATCATTTCATCAAATTATGATCAAACTCAAAATATAAGGCACCCCCTATCTTTTGTCCTATCATATCATAATTTATCCCGTTCTCATCTTAACTGCGTTTTAACTACTACAATCAGTTGAGCCTGAGAATTATGATCAGACAGTAA